AAAAAAAAAAAAAAAAAAAAAGAAGAAAAAGAAAAAGAAAAGGAAAAGAGAATTAAAGACACTAACTCCTCATGAAGGCAGGAATGAGTTCCAGGCCAACCTCAGATTTCCTCATTGCCACAACTGACACACTGCCAGTCACTGTAATGGTCCTGTTTCCAGACACATCCAGATTCACCATTCCTCAGTGTCCCCTGGTTGTGAATCACCAGGAATCCCAGCCCTCAATTTATCATTCATTGTTTTGAAGCCCACAGGGACCCACCAAACAGCCCCACTTTTGGGCAGGTTTTGTGACATTAGCTGGCCTGGGGAACAAGAGGGTTCAAAGCAGCATGTTGTGCCCACTAAAGATAAATGAGGAAACACAGACCTCAGGGTGTGACCCATTTCAATCACTTATTAGGTCTCAGACACAAGACACAGGGCCTCCATGTGGAGAACCAGGCACACAGCAACCTGCTGCATAGCCTGTGCCAAGTGACACCAGAAAGGGGACATTCTTTCCACACCCTCATGCCTGCCTGAGACCTGAGTTCAGTTGGAGTTTATCTTTTAAAAGTTTTTGGTACCTTTCTTAAGTGATTACAACAATTGAGGTTAACACTGACTGTCTGAAAAGAGCAGAAGACACCTGGCAGCCCCAGAGTCAGCTCTAAGACAACTGGTCAGGAAGCATCACAGTCACCCCAGCTCCAAGAAGCCCAGGAGAAACTCTTCTGCACAAAGCACATATTAGTCTCACACTCATGGCAGAGCCCTGTGTGGCACCACCTGCCTTCTCCCTGAGGGTGCAAAGCTCTGTGTATTAACTCTGTGCTAACGTCTATGTGTAGTTCTACATGGAGGCCTATGTGTGGACTGAATTCCTTCATGAAGGCAGAAAACCTGAGGGACAGTGGGTGTTCTCCATGGTGTCTGGCCTTGTCTTCCTGGTGACAGTCATGTGACATCAGGCCTACCTCTGTTGAGACATCTATAGTGTCCCATGCCACCTGGGTCTCAGTCCCATCCTCAGCACTGCTTCCCCCATCCTGGCCCTTGCACAGCTGGCTTCTCTCTCTCCCTCCCAGCTGACCTATTGAGAGAAAACATACTATGACCCCTGAACCAGCATGAGCTGTGCTGTGAATCCTCCCTAAGCCTCGCTGACTCTGTCTCCCCAAGTTAATGTGAGTTCCTGCACATTTGCAGGCACTCTGTCCTCTTCCCTTGTGCCTTTGAATATTTTGGGAGTTTGACCAGAGTTCAAGTTTCCTGCCTTCCCAGCACCCCATTTTGGCCTGGAGCAGCTATATTCACTGGCAAGTGACAATAAAGAAAACTGTCCATTTTTTCCCCAAAATTTTGCACAACACTCTAAAGTTGCTTGAAATTTAACTTTTCCCAAACTGATTGTCTCTGTCACCATTTAGCGTACAGAGCTACACATTTTATGCTCTGCTTTGTTATGTTTTTTCCCAATGCCCCATGCAGCACTTCATACTTACTACAGAAACAGTCTGTTTTGGATTTATTATTTTCTCTCCCCTCTGTGGTCTTTTGCTCTTTGTTCTTTTGCCACTGACTTTTGAAAATGTTTATGATTTTCCAGTCTTCATCTTTTCTGGAGCTGAAAACTTGTGTGGTGACAGAGGGTTGGGGGTAATAATTAGGTATTAGAAGATTTTCTCCTAGTAATTTCATTTTCCTCCTATGATTTTACTGCATGTGACCAAGAAGAGCCCACCCTCATGAGGTAAGTGAGAGTCTGCACTGTGCTTCTCCATGGAATTCATTGGAGGAAAAAGAATGAACTCTCCTGCTCAAGAACAACGTAGTGGCACTCACTCACCTTGAGGTGAAGAAAGAAGAGCTGCATGAGGAACAGGACAGCTGTGGACACCTGGGCAGCTCTAGTGAGGCAGTTTCTCTTCAAATGCTGGGTTTTCTGGAGAGCAAGTTGGAAGTGATCAGAATCCAAGCAGGAGACAGAGTGATGTGTAGGGGCTCTGGAGGGTGCCTGGCTCAGCTCCTCTGAGACCTGAGCTAGTACAGGGAGATTTTAACTCAGGGACTCCTGTGTGAACATGAATGCTGTACAGGGAATTTCCCTCTGATTTGTCTTTAGGATTATCTGGCTCTGAGAAATATGCCTGAGTGTGTTGAAGACAAGATCCTGAAGCAATGAGCTTATCATACAGATGGCTGGATGTGCAGACTGTGGCCACACCATGCTGTTCCCATGGCTCTCCATGAAAGATTATGCATAGGGCAGACTGATGTCACCCCAGGGGAGTTTTTGCTTAAAACTTTCATGGTTTATTACATTTGAAGTAGTACACTGTATACAGAAGAGAAGCAGTACTGTTGAAAATGGAGGCACTCTTTAGCTGGTTAGATATTTATTTTCCTTACAGGATATAACTTTATGAAATATTATGAAATACTGCATGTGACAATGCCATTTTTCTTGCAGTGTCCTTCCTAACCCATGTGAACCTGTTACCCACACCTGGTGTCAGTCTTACCCCATAAAGGTAGCTGTTTGTGTCCTGAACAAGGAATTGAGAAGAACACACAGCAGTAGTAAGGAGTAAGGATGGAGGAATTTGTTAAAGGAAGGTACAGTGCTCAGGTAGGGAGTGGACTGATGAGAAAATTCAAGAGTGGGTTTGAATGGAGAGGCCCCATCTGCTTTAGGGTTTGAGGTTTTCATTGGGAACTTTCCTGTGTCTTGTGGTGGGATTAAGGGGACTCTGTCCTATTGAGAAACTCCATCCTTACATCCGAAGAACATTTTTGCCCTCATATGGGTCTTGTTGGAACCAGTGTTGGAGGCTGACTAAGGCTGTGGAGGAGGAGTGTTGAATCCACAATGCTAATGATGTCATAATGGCCATGTGGTCACCCTTGGGCTCCACAAACCAGATAGAGCACATGTTTTGTGGCTCACAGCAGAAGTCAAGAAGTGTGATAAGGGCATGAAGAGATTCCTCATGCTCATGTCAGGATGTTAAGGAAATATGGTCTTTAAGAATCAGGAGGCATCCTGTTGATCATAAATTTGATTTTAGAATGTGTCTCACATTCTCTATCTCCTGTCACAAGATCATCACTTTGATTTAGCCTTCCCTTCTTTTTGTTTTTTTTTTTTGTTTTTGAGTAGGGGGGATTTGACTCAGGACCTTGTTCTTGCCAGGTAGGTGTGGAGCCACTGAGCTACATCCATGGCCTTAGTCTACCATTCTTGTTATTTATTTCCTCTCAGAAAACTTTCAAGGAGATTAGACTGTCTGGCTTGGTTTTCAACACCTTGTTGAGCACAATGGCTTTTCCTCACTATGAGGACTGGGGAGGAGCTGGTCCAAGCTGAATTCAAAGAGCAAGTTTTCACCTAATGCCTACAGTTGAGGCTCAGCACAGGTCTATGATGTCTCCACCATCCTCCTTCTGTGCCAATTCTGTTGCATGGAAAGGTAATGCAGGTGTGACCCACTGAAGAGGCGGTTCTGTCCCTGTGGCCACAGGTCCCCATCACCTGTCCAGCATCCTATGGACCAGGGCCAGGTGGTTGGGTGTGGAGAAGTAGCTCTGAGCTTTATATGGAGAGGGGCCTAGAATTTAGAGATCAGCATTGTGACAACTGTGACATCTGTGGGAAAGAAGGAGTGGGACCAAGGGCAAATGTGACAAGGAGGTTGGCTGAGGGAGAGAGGAGAAGCAAGGGGAACTGTCAATTGAAAGATGTCATCTCCACTGGAATCAGAATTCATGAAACACAAAAAATAATTTGCATTTATTTTTTCAATGGTTGTTGGACTTGGCCATTGCCTTTGTGGGCTTCTTTGGGTTTAGTATTTAGTTTTTACAGCATCACGGCTCCTTTATATCCTTAAAATGTTATAGTGCTTGGAAATAAATTGTATCTCAGAAAGGAATATAAGCTTTCTTTTAGAAGTATTATGTTTTCACCCTATTGATGATTACTTATGATATATTGGCATTATTTTATTTTAAAAGTAATTTTATTGGCAAGTAATAGTTGTCCTTCCTTATGTGATATAATCTTCTGTTTTAACACATTTGTACATTGTTGATTAGCTCTACTACTTAGGCTTTTTTTCCATTTAGTTTATTGGTACATTTTAGGTATACATGGTTACATTTGTCATTGGGATCTTGTTCCTTTACATGATGTATCATAGTTCTTGTTTTTTCCCATTCCCCTGCCCTCCATTCAATGCCTCCACTCTTCCCTATTTACAAAGACTTTGTTTTCATGCTTTCCTTTTCTCATATTTTTCTTTTCCCTTCTTTCCTTCCCCCTTGTCCTCCCACTTTCCACATTCCTTTAAATATTTTCTTCCTATTTCATAATATTAATTAGACATTTTTATTCTTATTTACACTTTTGTTTTTTCACACCAGAGAAACTATTCAGTATTTGCACATGTGTGTCCTATTCATTTCACTAAAGAGTATGGCCTCAATGTGCATCTACTTAGCTATAGATGTCTCTAGTTTCTCATTCTTTATGGCTAAGTAGTACTCCTTTTTATAGAAAAAACAAGTCTTCTTTATCCTGTCTCCAGTTGATAGGCAATTAGGCTGTTTCCAAATTTTAGCTATTACAAACTGTGCCACTATAAACATGGGTGAGCATATATCAATGTGGTATGATTCTTTTAATTCTTTGGGAAGATACTCAGTAGAGGAATTTCTGAGTCAAATAGGACTCCCAATCCTACTTGTTTGAGGAATCTCCATATTGATTTCCACAGTGGTTGCTCCATTCTGCACTACCCCCAACAATGAAGAAATGTTCCTTTTTCCCCACAACCCCTGCAGCACTTGATATTGGTTGAATTTATGATAACAGCCATTCTTTATGGAGTGAGGCAGAATCAGCATTGTTTTCATCTCCATCTCTTGAATGAGCAGTGATTTTGAACATTTTTTTTGAAATATTTGTTTGCTGCTTTTACTTCTTTGTCTGAGAAATGTCTGTTCATTTAAGAGGCCCATTTTTGAATTGGGTCTTTATATTTGAGGGGTCTGATTTTTTGAGTTCTTTATATATTCTATATAGTAGACTTTTGTTTGTGGAACAGCTGGTAAAATTTTTCCCACGTTGTAGCTTGTCTCTTAGTTCTGTTGTTGGTATCTCTTACAGTGAACAAGATTTTAATGAGATAAGATCCCAGTTGTTGATTCTTTGTGCCAGTTCCAGTTTTTTCATAAAGTTCTTTTCTATGCCAATGTCTTTGAGAGTTGTACCTAACTTGTCTTCCAGCAAGTTTAGTGTTTCTGTTTTAATATTTATATCTTTAATCCATTTCAATTTTAGTTTAGTGCATGGTGAAAGATAGGGGTCTAGTTTTAATCTTTGGCAAGTTGAAATCCACTTTTTCCAACACCATTTATTAAAGAGTCTATCTTTCTCATTGGCTTCTTCTTCAAAGATGAGCTGAGTATGTCTGAAGTTGTTTCTGCATCTTCTAATCTATTCCACTGATCCTCGGGTCTGTTTCTTTTCCAGTACCATGCTGTTTTTATCACAGTGGCTTTGTAGTATACTTTCAAGTTGGGACCTGTGATACCACCTGCCAAGACTCTGTTGCCTAGACTTGGTTTTGCTCTTCTAGGTCTCTTCTGGTTCCAGATTAACTTTTGGATTATTTTCTCTAGTTTTGTGAAATATGCTCCTGGGATTTCAATCAAGATTGCATTGAATCTGTATAGCAGGTTTGGAAGTATGGCCATTTTCACTATATTGGTTCTTTCTCACCATCTCACCAGGAACAGGGGATATCTTTTTTTTTTTTTTTTTCGGTACCAGGGATTGAACTTGGGTCCCTGTGCTTGCAAGGCAGGTGCTGGAACCACTGAGTTAAATCCCTGGCCCCTCAATTTTATAATACTCTCTTTGATCTCTTTTTTCAGAGTGCTGTAGTTCTCAGTGTAGAGGTCTTTTGCTTCCTTTATTAGACTGATTCCTAAGTCTTTTATTTTTTGGATGCTATTGTGAAAGGGATTGTTTGCTTTATTTCTCTTTCAGTGAATCTGTTATTTGTGTACAAGAAGGTTATTGATTTTTGAGTGTTGACCTTGTATCCAGCTACTCTACTGAATATGCCAGTTAAGTCTAAAAGACTTTTAGCACAGTTTTTTGGGTCTTCTATGTAGAATATCATATTGTCAGCAATAATGACAGTTTAACTTCTTTTCCTATATTTATTGCTTTTATTTCTTACTCTTATCTAAGTGCCATGGCTAAAACTATATTGTTTCCAAAACTATATGTTTCCAAAACTATATTGAACAGGAATGGTGATACTGGACATCCTTGTCTCCTTCCCAAATTTAGCATGAAGGTTTTCAGTTTTTGACCATTTAGTATGATGCTTTCTGTTGGTTTTCCATAGGTAGCCTTTATGAAGTTGAGATAAAGACAATCTATTCTGATTTTCTACAGGGTTTTTACCTTGAATGGGTGTTGAATTTTATCAAATGGTTTTTCTGCATCTATTGAGATGATCATATGATTTTTGTCCTTGACTCTGTTAATATAGAGTATTACATGTTTTGATTTACATACATTGAACCGTCCTTGCATCCCTAGGACAAATCTGACTTGGTCAAGGTGTATGATCTTCTTGATGACCCTTTGTATTCTGTTTGCAGTATCTTACTGAGGATTTTTCATCTATGTTCATTAGGGAGATTGGCCTCTAGTTCTCTTTTGGTTGGGTCTTTCCATGGTTTTGGAATCAAAGTGATACTTGCTTCTAGAAATGAATTTGGAAGTATTGCTTCACTTTCAGTTTCATTGAGAAGTTTAAAGAGTAGTGGTGATAGCTCTTCTCTAAATGTTTTGTAGAATTCAACAGTGAAGCCATCAGGACCTGGGCTTTTCTTTGTTGTTAGATTTTAGTTATGTTTACAATTTCACTGACTGTAATTGGGGTGTTTAGAATTTTCATATCTTCTTTGTTCAAATTTGGTAATTCATATGTATCTAGAACTCTGTCCATTTCTTTGTTTTCCATTTTATTAGAGTACAGGTTATCACAGTAAGTATTAATAATCCTCTGGATTTTTGTTGGATCTGCTGTGACTTCACCTTTTTCATTTCCAATTGCATGTGTTTGAACCTTATAAGGTTCAACCTTTTATAAGGTTGCCTAAGAGTTTATCAACTTTATTTATTCTTTCAAAGCACCAACTCTTTGATTCCTTGATTTTGTATCATTCTCTTAGTCTCCATTGCATTGATTTCTGCTCTGATCTTTATAATTTCTTCCTTTGTATGAGCTTTGGGCTTGTCTTGCTCTTATTCTTCTAGGAGCTTAAGATTCAGCATTAGGATGTTTATTTGAGCTCATTCTCTTTTCCTAGTGTGGGCATTCACTGCTATGAATTTCCCTCATGGAACTGCTTAGATTGGGTCCCATAGGTTCCTGTATGTTGCATTGGTATTATCATTTATTTATAAAAACTGTCCAATTTCTACTTTAATTTCCTC